TTCCGTAAGATAGTAGTGATTGAACAAGGGCATGATATATCATTTGTAGATATTTTTCGCTTAAAAAGCTGCTGAAATATTTGAGTTTCAGAATAAGGTATCTCAATTGTCTTACTAAATTTTCAATATGTTTATTCCATCTTAGATGTTATCTATGAATACCCCTAGGTATTTAAAATTATCAACCGATTGCATGTTTCTACAGCTATTCAACGTTTTAATTTGGAGTTGATTAAAATTTGGGGAAGATCTTTTGTCGCGAGAAAATGTAATAAAGTATGTTTTGTTGAAATTGACTGTAAAAATTCTTTCCGTGAAAACATTTGTAACCTTCTGAAGATCTAATACAATTTTGTTAAGATGTCCAATCTTCGTCTGAGTAAATAATTGCCGTATCGTCTGCGAAACCAATAACTTTTCCATCGTTTTTTAACTTAACAAGGTCATTAATATATAAATTAAACAGCATTGGTCCTAATACGGTTCCTTGTGGAACTCCGCATCATATTTACACTCAGTGTACTGCTGATGTTTACACATTCTGTCCCGTTTTCCATATAACTTTTCATGAATTGATAAGTGACTCCACGAAATCCTAAATTTTGCAAGGTTCTTAATAATTTTTGATGTGTAATTCTATCGAATACTTTGGTTAGGTCTACAAAAAGGCATGCTGTTGACTTATTATTATCAACGTACTTGTAAATTTTGGTTGTTAACTGAATAAGTACATCTTGACTTGATTTTGCTTCCTGGAATCCATATTGCTCTACAGATATGATATTGTATTTTGGAATAAAATCTGAAAAGCGTTTTAAAAGAATTTTTTCGAAAATTTTTTAAAAGTTTTTCAATACTGAAATTGGGCGATAATTACAAGGTTTATGTTTACCTCCGGATTTAAACACAGGTTTTATTATTGCCTTTTTTAATTGGGTTGGGAACATTCCTCTTTCCATGCAGGTGTTTATAAGATATGCTAATCCCTTAGAAATTTATAATTTATTTGTTTCAGAGTGTGTGCGGTTATATTATCAAATCCCGGTGATTTCTTAACTTTCAGTCGCTTTATGATATGTTCAATTTCGTATTGATCGGTCTGTGTTAGATACAGGGAATTTTGCAATATGGTTTTCATATATACAGTGTTTCAGTTTATTGTTGCATAACTTTAAGATTCGATAGAACTTTTAAAATTAATACATAAAGTCTATATAAACATGGGTCGAAAAACGCGTGGCTTCCGAAATACAGGGTATTTAAATTTACTTTCTAAAATAGTTTTTTTTAAATATTTCGAACAATATTTGATGTATAACAGTGAAAATTGGTATACAAGGGTTTTTTGGTACGACAAAACGAACCATGGGCATAGTTTTACTGTAGCCGCTAGAGGCCGCTCTCTACTGTACCTGTAGTGTAATAAAATGACCGAAAAATTTTTCCTAGTGCACTTTTCAACATAAAAAAGCTCTGCTGTGAGTTTTCGTTATAGTTAGCCGTTTTTGAGATATTTCGATTTTTAAGGTTCGATGCATTTTTAATTATTTATGGGAAAATAATATTTTTTTTACATTTTCGATATGGGCATTACAAGTAATTAATATGATCATTTAGATTGTGTGAGACTCCAAATAAACACAAAAAAAACAGAATATTAATTTGTTTAATTTTCCAATATTATTTTTAACAAATTAAATTAATTATTTACAACTAAAATGCTATTGAATAGTTAGGACAAACATACAAAATCTAAAGTAGTTGCTCGAAATGTAAACCCAATTGTTCAATACACAATTCACATCTACGAATGATCGAACGTGGTATAGCATTATTGAAATAAGGCCTTATTTCATCACATGCATTCCTGATTCTGTCTATTAGCATATCTCTTGTGGTTACGGGAGTCTGGTACACGTTTTCTTTTAGAAATCCCCACACAAATAAATCTAATGGATTTAGGTCAGGGGATCGTGGAGGCCAGGCGACTGGTCCTCCACGGCCGATCCATCCTTCTGGATAATTTTCGTCCAGCCAGTTTCTAACTATTCTCGAATAATGAGCTGGACAACCATCAAGCGGGAACCAGGCCAATCTTCTTAAATCTAACATAACATCATCCCACATATTTGCAGGTTCAGCCTTTAAAAATTCCAAGAAGGTCGCAGCATTTAACCTTGCAGGCAAAAGGTAGGGTCCAAATATTCGATTACGGTAGATACCAATCCAGACGTTCACACTAAATTCATGCTGAAAATTTCTTTCCCGAACTGCATGCGGATTTTCATGCGACCAAATATGTTGATTATGAAAATTTACCACTCCACGTCTAGTGAAGCATGACTCATCGGTCCATAAAACGTTACTTAAAAACTCCCTATATTATCACATCTATCAAGAATCCACTGAAAAATGTGATTCTTCGTTCTCCGTCCCCTGGCTGTAGTCCTTGCACAGGTTGCAAATGGTAAGGACGTCTATGGTCATTTCTAAGAACACGGTGAACATGGCTTGCTGAAATTCCCAAGGCACCAGAAACTCTCCTAACACTTGTGGTCGGATCTCTATCAAACTCACGCAGAATCATACGGGTAAATCTGCGCTGACGAACATTTATGGGATCAAAAATCCCTTTGGAGATTTCCAAAACCATTTTCAATTATTTGGCGATGCACTCTTACAATTACTGAGCGAGTTGGATGTCGTCTGTTTGGAAATCTTCGTGCGTATTCTCTGGCTGCTTCTGCTGCGTTTCCATTTACAAAGCCATACACAAACTGAGTATCCGCTAACTCTTGATTGGAGAATAAAAATGGCATTTTTATAAAACTTACAAAAAAAAAACAGGTAAAAGAAACAAAATTTCCTGCATTCATAATTGCAAAAAAAACGTTTCATGTTTCAACAGACAACAAAACTAACTGTCAACTAATTGACTTTTAACCTTATTCTGCTTTCAATTTCAAAAATATTTGCAGGCACAGCCTACTTCTAAAAATTATCGAGATACTGACTTTTTAACGTTATTTTATCATAAATAATTAAAAATGCATCGAACCTTAAAAATCGAAATATCTCAAGAAAGCTTTATTATGTTGAAAAGTGCGAAGAATCAGTTTTTTTATTCAAAGAGCAAAAAGTTTCACTAAGAAAAAATTTTTGGTCATTTTAATACACTACAGGTACAGTAGAGAGCGCCCTCTAGTGGCTACAGTAAAACTATGCCCATGGTTCGTTTTGTCGTACCAAAAAACCCTTGTATACCAATTTTCACTGTTATACATCAAATATTGTTCGAAATATTTAAAAAAAACTATTTTAGAAAGTAAATTTAAACACCCTGAATTTCGGAAGCCACGCATTTTTCGACCCATATTTTTACAGACTTTATGCATTTATTTTAAAAGTTCTATCGAATCTTAAAGTTATGCAACAATAAACTGAAACACCCTGTATAAGTTGTGTTTCATTTGAAATGTGTTTTGCCAGATTCTCACCAATTTCAGAAAAATATTTACAAAATTCATTGCCTGTTTCAATATCGCTTTTTGTAAGTCCCCCATCGTCTTTTTGTACAGAAGGAATTTCTTGGCATTTTTGAGAATGTTGCATTTTTTTCTATGAATTGCCACATTTTGGCCGAAAAATTTTGAAAGTTTGTCAACTTCATTTTTAAAAAAAATTAATTTAGCCTCTTTTATAATTGTGGTTAATTTATTTCTGTATAATTTAAATTCATTTAGAAGTTCTAAGTCGTGTGAAATTTTTTTTGTTTCTCTATACAGCTTAATTCTTGTTAACGGATGTTTTAATTCCATTCGATATCCATGGCTGCCTTTTAATATTCTTTCGTGGAATCTTTATCCGATTTGTACATAAATTTACATGTTGTTGAAGCTGTAAGGTAAAAAGGTCAAATGCCTTTTCAGGATCATCCTGATTATACAGGGTGACTTCGAAGTTGAGTTATTTATTTTAACAGTGAGCAGATCTGATCAAAAGAAATGTTTTTTTCCTTTACCATTTTTCTGGTAAAATTAAAGTAACAAAGTTATAGCCCTTTGGAAGTTTGAGTACCGCCCTGTCTCAATAATAATATTATGTGCTCGTGTTTGGCGACAACGGATATAATCCGCCTTATCGGTTCATCGCATCGGAAACAAAAAAGCGAAAGAATTAGGAACGATGTTTTTACAATTATTTCATTCAGTTGTATACAGTCAGTGTCAGTCGGTAGTGAATAGTGGTGTAACTGTTGCGTGGCTCAAACGAAATAAAAAATGGCACATGTTTATGCGGATCGGTTTCCCAATCGAGTGCAACCAACCCCTCGTGCCTTTGTTAATGTAGTACAACGGGTTCGTGAATCAGGTGACTTAAGACCTCACATATGGACGGCATGCCGGTGCTCCAAGACCTCACGATCAAATACAGGTCCGCACTGAAATACTTGTCGGGAGGATACTTTATAAAACAAGGTAAATTTTTTTTTTATTTTTTTTTAATTTTTACACACATATTTTGGTTTATCTTTCTTCTACAATCATTATCTGAAAATTAATGACTCAACTTCAAAGTCACCCTGTATATTGAGTGATCTATTTGTATAACACAAAAATCCTGCCTATAAAAATATCGTTATCGTGTGTTTTGTACCGTTTGGACCTATACTAATATACAACTGACCCCCAATTGTTCACATTAGGCTCAGATTTCTTGGGAGGGTCAAGTAGGCGGGTAGTAAGTGGACATCCCATTATTGTCTACATGTAATTGGATCCATGCTAACAATTATAATTCACCATTCACTCTATTCACTATAATAGTACCTTCTTGAAATAATTGACACTGATTACCACCCTTGTAATGACAAGATCATCAAGCTATATCTGCAATCCTTAGCATAATTGCACCACCTTGAAATGTCGTCATCGCCGACAACCTGTCAACCTTCTAATCTGTATAAAGCTCCTTTAACGTTCTTTTCATTTTCCAGTCCAGTTCACGCCGCGCGGCACCTTTCCAACTGACCATTCAAAATGCGGGAGTGCGTGGCGATCGTACTTTTCGCGCTTATTTCCGGAATGCGGTGGAATTTCTGTTCCGGGATCTACCTGGACGAAATCCTGCGGGAGAACGACACAGCGGATGACTTGATCGAGATGTACATCCCCACCATGAGGGCTCAGGGAGCGCTGTGCAGGAAGCACAGCATCTTTTACGCAGACGAGTTGAAGAAGTACAGGCTGTGGGCAGCTGAGAGTGAGTTTGGTTTAAGTTTGGTATAACATGTTTTGTCCAGTACCTGTTTTTGGACACAAATACTGAAAAAAGAAGTTTGCTAATGCCATAGTAACAACTTCTTCCAAAATGTTATTAACCAAATATAATTGGAAGCTTAACATAAATACGTGTTTATTCTGCACTCGTTCTTCATTATAAACTTCTTGTAATTAATTGGATTTGGGGTCTAAAGGAACATAGTTTCCTGGTATACAGTTGCCGACGCTTTGGAAAAATTTATTTCCTTCCTCAGCGCTCCTTTACTTCGAAACTATGGTGGTAAAAAATAATCCAACGTTATGAACATCTTTATAACAAACGAAAGCCTATTACGAAGTATAATAATAATGATAGTAATAACAATGATAAGCCTTTATCTCCCAACAACTTATAGTCAATAACAGACCGATTTATAAAAACCCTAGCACAGAGGTATTTACATAAGAACGAAGCATATACATAAATACATACAGGTATGTATACAGGGTGTTTCAGTTTATTGTTGCATAACTTTAAGATTCGATAGATCTTTTAAAATTAATGTATAAAGTTTATATAAACATGGGTCGAAAAATGCGTGGCTTCCAAAATACAGGGTGTTTAAATTTACTTCTTAAAATAGTTTTTTTTAAATATTTCGAACAATATTTGATGTATAACGATGAAAGTTGGTATACAAGGGTTTTCTGGTACGGAAAAATGAACCATGGGCATAGTATTACTGTATCCGCTAGAGGGCGCTCTCTACTGTACCTGTAGTGCATTAAAATGACCGAAAAATTTTTCTTAGTGCAATTTTTGCTTTTGAATAAAAAAACTGATTCTTCGCACTTTTCTACATAAAAAAGCTCTCCTGTGAGTTTTCGTTATAGTTAGCCGTTTTTGAGATATTTCGATTTAAAAGGTTCGATGCATTTTTAATTATTTATGGGAAAATAATATTTTTTTTTACATTTTTGATTTGGGCATTACAAGTAATTAAGATGATCGTTTAGATTGTGTTTTTAAACACAGCAATAATTCCTAACTCCAAATAAATACAAAAAAACAGAATATTAGTTTGTTTAATTTTCCAATATTATTTTTAACAAATTAAATTAATTATTTACAACTAAAATCCTATTGGATAGTTAGGACAAACATACAAAATCTAAAGTAGTTGCTTGAAATGTAAACCCAATTGTTCAATACACAATTCACATCTACGAATGATCGAACGTGGTATAGCATTATTCAAATAAGGCCTTATTTCATCACATGCATTCCTAATTCTGTCTATTAGCATATCTATTGTGGTTACGGGAGTCTGGTACACTTTTTCTTTTAGAAATCCCCACACAAAGAAATCTAATGGATTTAGGTCAGGGGATCGTGGAGGCCAGGCGACTGGTCCTCCACGGCCAATCCATCTTTCTGGATAATTTTCGTCCAGCCAGTTTCTAACTATTCTCGAATAATGAGCTGGACAACCATCAAGCTGGAACCAGGCCAATCTTCTTAAATCTAACATAACATCATCCCACATATTTGCATGTTCAGCCTTTAAACATTCCAAGAAGGTCGCAGCATTTGACCTTGCAGGCAAAAGTCCAAATAGTCGATTACGGTAGATACCAATCCACACGTTCACACTAAATTCATGCTGAAAATTTCTTTCCCGAACTGCATGCGGATTTTCATGCGACCACATATGTTGATTATGAAAATTTACCACTCCACGTCTAGTGAAGCATGACTCATCGGTCCATAAAACGTTACTTAAAAACTCCCTATTATTATCAGTTCTATCAAGAATCCACTGACAAAATGTGATTCTTCGTTCTCCGTCCCCTGGCTGTAGTCCTTGCACAGGTTGCAAATGGTAAGGACGTCTATGGTCATTTCTAAGAACACGATGAACATGGCTTGCTGAAATTCCCAAGGCACCAGAAACTCTCCTAACACTTGTGGTCGGATCTCTATCAAACTCACGCAGAATCATACGGGTAAATCTGCGCTGACGAACATTTATGTTTTGATCCCTTTGGAGATTTCCAAAACCATTTTCAATTATTTGGCGATGCACTCTTACAAATACTGAGCGAGTTGCATGTCGTCTGTTTGGCTATCTTCGTTCGTATTCTTTGGCTGCTTCTGCTGCGTTTCCATTTACAAAACCATACACAAAATGAATATCCGCTAACTCTTGATTGGAGAATAAAAATGGCATTTTTATAAAACTTACAAAGAAAAAACAGGTAAAAGAAACTAAATTCCGTGCATTCACAATTGCAAAAAAACGTTTCAGGTTTCAACAGACGACAAAACTAACTGTCAACTAATTGACGTTTAACCTTATTCTGCTTTCAATTTCAAAAATATTTGTAGGCACAGCCTACTTCTAAAAATGATCGAGATACTGACTTTAACGTTATTTTATCATAAATAATTAAAAATGCATCGAACCTTAAAAATCGAAATATACAGGATGTAAACGTTATGGTAGTCATTATTGAAATGGGTAATAGGGGAGGTCAAAACAAGTCAAAAAGTTCATATGACCCATGGTCCAAAAGTTAATAGATTTTTGTCTAGATGGGTTTATAGTTTACAACTTTAAATGCTTTATATCGACCACAATCACCACAATCTTACTAATTTTTATAATCTAATCTAAAACGTTTTTAAATTGGGTAATTAACAAATAAATGGCATTAAGTTTTTCTAAGTTCAGCCAAAATTTGTTGTCAGTAAGTAAATTAAATATTTAAAACAACAGTGTGTCGGTCTTTCATCACTCTTATAGAACCGGTAATCAATCGCAAACTGTAACAGTGGTTAGTATGTTGTTTTGTTCTTGTTCGCGTACGTCGTCGTGTTTATTTACAATACTCTCGAACCAAGAGCTTGCCGACATGTTGTTAGTTTACGGTGAAGCTCCTGCAGCTCAAATTTCACCAACGGGTACACCCAGACTGAAGGACATTTGTACAAGTGTACCAAAGACTTCGAGATACAGGAAGTGTCCAGCCCACTGATATTCGCACTCGTGAAAGACAGGTTACTGTAGAGCAGGAGAAACAAATTTTAAATATCGTGGAAATCAATGCAGATATTAGCACTCGGGAATTAGGCCGCCGCGTAGGACTATAGAATCCTACGGGAAAATTTGCTTTATCCCTACCATATACAACGAGTGCAGGCCTTGTTACCAGAAGACTATACTCGCAGACTAACATTCTGTCAGTGGTTTTTGCACAAATACATTGAAAACCCGGATTTTTATAAAAACATTCTAGCGACGGACGAATGTACTTTTACGCGAGACGGGATATTAAATTTCCATAATACTCACACGTGGGCCCAAGAAAATCCTCATGCCATTCGTGAAGGTCATTTCCAACGTTTTAAAATAAATATTTGGCGGATATTCTTGACGATCAGGTAATTGGCCCTTTCGAATTACCCCCAAAGTTGTCAGGAGAAGGATACCTTAGCTTTCTAGCCAATAACCTACCAGAACTTTTGGAACAGACCTTAGATAACATGCCATTATAACGGAGACATAATTTGTGGTTTCTTCATGACGGGGCACCACCACACATTCAGTATTTGAATGAACTTTATCCAAATCGCTGGATCGGTCGAAATGCTCCTGATCCTCGAAAATGGGCAGCAAGATCTCCTGACCTCAATCCGATGGATTTCTGGTATTGGGGAGAACTTAAAGGGATGGTTTATGGGGCTGGTCCAATAACAACTGAAGCACAACTTCGCGAACAAAATTTTAATGCGGCTGAAATAATAAATGGACAACTTCGAGGACCTAGAGTAAGAAGAAACTGGGTTCGTCGTAATGAAGCTTGTGTGGAAAGTGGAGGACGACATTTTGAACACCTTCTTTATATACAAAAAAAGTGCAGTGTGGGTTTTAAAAAGAAAAACAATGTATGTATCAAAATTGTGTTCCCTATTTATAAGTGGATTTTTTTAATACGTTCAATAAACTTTCACATACCAGGTGAAGCGCTGAGACAGTTAGTGGTAAGTCCCGTTTTTTTAAATTGTATGCATTTTACGAGTACATTATCAAATAATGAAATAATACCTAAGAGTCAAAAATAACAAACTCCATCCTTATTTACACTGCGTTCCGTCGTAATTTAATTTAAAGTCGCTTTTCTCTCAAAAAATTCCGTTATACGAAACTTTTGGCTTCTCTTAATCCCCTCTATCACCCATTTAAAAAATGACTATCATAACGTTTATACCCTGTATGATCAAATTTCCTCACATATTTATGCACCTGCCACTGGTGGTTTGCTGAATCTGTAGACGCCTTTTATTCGCAGCAGTGACACACGATTAATGAATTACTAACTCATAGAAAGCTTTTCATAGTACTAAGCTTTCTCATAGCTGCCTTTTCATATTAGTGATGCAATTGTTTGCAAATAAAAAACCTAGTGCTCCATATCATTGCCTCAGAACATGTTGTAGGTATTTTTCAAATCTCAAGTCTTCATTAAAATGTAAGCCCAAATTTTTGGCGCATCCTGAATAAGGGATGCGTTCTCCATTGATCTGAATATCAATTTTTGATTTAAGAAATGTTCTTATGGATTGACTGATCAATATGAAACACTTCATGAGGGGAAAACTTCAAAACATTAGGTTATTTATATCCATAGATATTTGGTGGAACAGTTTCAAGAACTAAAATGGCAATATTTCACAGCGGCATGTAGGTCCGATATTAATTAAAACAAGTAATAGTGACCCAGTACAAAAACTCCCGGAAATATTTTTCAAAGTGGCAGCCATGGGTTTGTGTGAGCTCGCGCAGTGTATATTATAACTATTCATATAATATTTTTTCGCTTTCTAGTTTCTTGCAGTTCTTGTAAAGTACAGCAATTAAGTGGAATATATTACAAGCTCTTTCCATTCTCTACCTTATTAAAATATGATAAACAATCATATTATAACAAATATATAAG